AGATCAAGAATGACGTTCAAGATAAATCTCAAACTTCCTCAAACTTTTCACGTAGTTATAGAGATTAAATAAATCTGATTGATCAGATTGTATCGGAGAATGGTTAAATAGTAAAATAAATCATTCGCATGATTAATACGATCGATTAGATTTAAAACGAATGAATGATAAACGATATCATTGTATTATATCGTTTAGATAATTTTGCAAATTATAAAAACAAGTGTAAACATTGAGTGTCTGAAAGATCGAGAGTTTTAGATATCTTTTGAGAAAGATTTATCATTAGGTATATAAGAAATTAGATAAAAAGAAAAAGAAAAAGAAAAAGAAGAAGAAGAAGAAAAAGAAAAAGAAAAGAAGAAACGGTATTGTACGATATATCCTTCTTCTTTTTTTTTTTTCTTTTTTTTCTATCTAGTAAATACACTACACATAGTTTGTCCTTCTTCTACACGGAAAGGAATGTAGCATGGTACAGTCTCGATCATCATCCCCTACAGGTTTCTCTCTCTCTCTCTCTCTCTCTCTCTCTCTCTCTCTCTCTCTTTCTTTCTGTGTTCGGTCGATCACCATCTAGATACTCAGCGTCCTGCCGTGCGCGTTTCACGATCGGAGACACTATCTACGTCGATCTCTAGCTAATGTCGTGTAAGAACGTCCGGAGCTACGCCTTCTTCGATCTACTGACAGCAGTTTGTCGAGAGACACTCCTCGCGAGCTTGGCGATACATCACAAAGCCCTTTTTAATCCTTCCTCGCGATGCTCTTTCCCCGTCCTCAGCATCCGTTCCACGTTTCCTCCCACTCCACCCACCTCCACTCATTTCGTTTTCATTTCACCCTTTACCACAAAACTCCAACATATTCTCCCTTTCTGATCACCCCAATTCCTCCCATTATCTTTGAATATCGTACACTAGTCTAATGTTCAATCAAAGGATTAATCTCTCGAAGGATTAAAACGTTTGTAAAAAAACTTTCTACAAATTTCTACGATTTCTACGAAAGAATATAATTCAATATTATTATGGATTACGATATAACATCTAAATGTGAATCATAGCATCGTTAAATGTTTCAAACTTTATTACGAATATTTCTTTTTTTTTTTTTTTTTTTTTTTTTATCGGCACAATTTAACCTAACTGTGATGCTTCTTGAGATTTAAGATATCTTAGAATAACTTTGAGATCAATTGAGTAAACACAATTTGAGCATTGCACGGATTCATGAATTTCTTTGTTTTTCTTTTCTTTTTTTTTTTTTTTTTGTGTGACAAAATTGAAAATGCATCTTCAAATCTACCAATTGTTATTTCCGAGGCTTCAAAGAATATACGATATATTTTTTTTTTTATTTTTTTTTTTTATTTCTTTTTTTTTTTTAAGTCAAAATTATTCACTCTGTATAAATGAGAGATTTTCAAAATGCCTGGGATATAGCTTATACCCAAGTATACGACTTAATATTATTTTGTGGTGTACGCAATTAGGGTTAAACTGTTCGTATATCTTTGTGTTATCTCGTTTTTCGAATTATCCTTTTAAATAAGAATTATGGTGTATATACAAATTTTGATCCGTATTCCGACGAAAGGATTTTATTTAATTATTTTTAAATAATTCATTAAATTAATTCAGTTGAATGGATCTTACGGATTGATTCATGTTCAATATTCAAATAATTATATTCTAACTATAGAAAATTATTTACATTTTAATATTTCAATAAACTTAGGAATAACACGTTTATGAAATAATTGTTCTTTGCAAAAACGATCGATCACAAATAAATCTGAGTTTGAATGAAATGAAATATCCACGAGATCCCATAGAATCTATGATACATTTTCGTAATCTTTTTATATATCAACATGGATATACCATAAATATTACTTAATCCATAATTAATCTTCAATTCTGACGATACAATAATACTCAATTATTTTTTAAACGATTCATTCGATTTATCCGAATTACATTATCCTGATTAAAATACAACTTAATAAAATAACCAAAGAGCTCGACAATAGATTTGTTTCGATATTTTCAACGAATCAATAGATTTCGTTTAATCGAATTCAAAATGTGATCTGATTTATGAAATTATTAAATTATTATCATACGGGGAAAAAAATAAATGGATGTCGAAAGGTCAACAGTGATTTAAACTTAGGTCTCAATACTTCGATCGAATAAACTACGTAAAAGTTTCCATGAAGATAAATCAATTGTAAACATTATTATATATTAGCATGATTTGTCATAAATTTAGATAACAATTCTAACAGTATAATAATACTTAATTGTTTTCAAACGATTTATTTCTATTTATTCGATTGATACAATTTTAAAATAATCGAAAAATTCGACTCTCGTCGTACAATGTTATCCAAAGTTTCAATATTTCAATGATCAACGAATGATTTCAATTAATTAAAATTCGATCTTAAAATAATTCAATCATTACTCTTACGAAAGTCGTTCTTTAAAAATGAATTGAAATTCGAACTTAAGTCTTGCTCCCTCTCCCCTCCCTCTCCCCCCCCCAACCATTTTCGTAACCAATCCTTTAACTCTTTGACCATAGTAAACTTTGAGACATATGATAAAAATTCACTTGCAACTTGCAACGAGAACGGCAAAATTTTTTTTATTACGCGTGCATTAAGAATTGCACATTGAAATAATTAAAACATTGAATTTCACTTAGATCAAATCAATATTATTCATTCATTCGTATTAACTGCATTGATTGTACATATTCTACATTAAAGATTCAACATTAACTTGAAGTATTTTTTCAATGATCTAGTAAAGTATTAAAGTAGATTAAGCGCTTATAAACGCCTAAGGTATCATAAGAGGAAATTTTTTAAAACCCCCTTTAAACGTCTACAATATCATAAGCGCAAATTTATTAAACGCATTTAAGCTTCAACAATAGTCAAAGGATTAAACCAAGTATGATAACACAATAATTACTATCTAATGGATAGTAGAGCCCTTTTAGAGCCCTTTTAAAATTTACTATTTCATAAAAACTTCTTAATGCCAATCAATAAAATCCTTATTATTGATCGAACTTCGATTAATTTTACGTTTAGCCGATGCAAAAATTTAACGTAATATTTACAAATCGTCAAAGAGAAATGACGATTGGGCGGAAATAAAAAAAAAAAAAAAAAAAAAAAAAGGAAAAGGAAAAGGAAAATGAAAAAGACAAGAAAAGAAGAAAAAAGAAAGAAAGAAAAGAAAGAAAGAAAAGAAAGAAAGAAAAGAAAGAAAGAAAAGAAAGAAAGAAAAAGGATAAACTACAACGACAATAGTAACGATAATAAAAATAATAAAAACGATCGGACCACCAAGGAAAAGGTTCGAATCCCCATGAAAGGGATGAAGTTCCCTTCCAACCTCTCCAATGTCCCCGTAGGTACACTATCGTGACAGTCACAATCAGTCAGTTTTCGTTCTAATACACGTAGACATCAAACTCGTTCGTTTGTTCGATCGCTCCGCTCATTCTCACTACGGGAGTCTTGCCGCCTCCTGTGAGGCAGGAAACCTTAAGAGTTCCATTCATTCTGGGCAAAAGAGAGAGAGAGAGAGAGAGAGAGAGAGAGAGAGAGAGAGAGAGAGAGAGAGAGAGAGAGATACAGAAACAGAAGGAGAGAGAGAGAGAGAGAGAGAGAGAGAGAGAGATAAAGGAAACAAAAAAGATTTTTTTTCATTTTTCTTTCCAAAAAGATGAGTAACTCGAAAGACTCCGCGGGAATGGAATCAACGAATTTGATTTATTAGAAAGATTCGTGTACCTACGAGGTTTCAAAATTCAGAAAAGGAAAGAAAAGAAAAAAAAATGGTTGCACGATAAATCGCTCGACGCGATAATTCATATACACTTGAACCCCCATTAAGGGATGATCTTTTATCGCTGATAAAGCTTATAAAGGAGGAAACGTGAACGATAACGTTTACGTATCTCGTTCGTTCCACTATTTACCACGTTATACATCTCTCTATCTCTATATCATTCTCTTTCATCTTTCTCCCTTTTTCCTTTCTTCTTTTATCCTTCTACTTATCCTAATTCTCTTACTCTACTCATCTCGTTGTACTTTCCTTTATCTCGGGTAAAAGATTAGACGAAAGGGAAATAATATTAATTGGCAAATAACAACGATTGGCGAAAAACGAGGATGAAATCCCATAGAAATCCCATAGAAATCCCATAGAAATCCTATAGAAATCTCATAGAACGAACAAATGAACGAACAATCGTATTTAATGCTCGCTTATAACGACACCAATTTAAATGATAATACCCGGTTCTTTCTTTCTTTCTCTCGATCTATCTATCTATCTATCTATCTATCTATCTATCTATCTATCTCTATCTCGTTATGTGTATGTATTTGTGTGTGTATACCTTTGAGATTAACTCGTAATGGGTTGGTATAAATGTCGGCGAACTTGTTAACTATACCTATCTCTTAGACTATCCTTCCAATGCGGAAACGCTTACGGTGCGTGCTAACTACTCCTGTACGACAAGATTATTTATGTCGTTAGTACGCCTCTTTCTCTTTCTCTTTCTCTTTCTCTCTCTCTCTCTCTCTCTCTCTCTCTGTCTCTCTGTCTCTCTCTTTATTTATTTATTTCTTCGTCTTCCCCCTTCCTTTGATCATAAGATGATCATAAGATGAAATCGATGAATCTATTGGGCCTGAGGCAGTAAAGGTAGAAAGAAAAAAGAAAGAGAGAAAAAAAAAAAGAAGGAAAAAAAAAGGAACATTCGATTTAATCATTCTAAGAGCTATACACGTAAGAAGATTATAAAATAGATTGTAGATTGTACCGTGGCCTTGTTTTACTCGCGAGCGAAAGTTTCGAAGCTAGAACTTTCAAAAAAAAAAAAAAAAAAAAAAACTTTACTCTTTTTTTGGTCCTGTTTTTCTTGTTTTTTTTTTTTTTGAAGAGGGGAGGGTTTTTCGTTTGTTCTTTTTTTTTTTCTAAGATTTTTCATTAGTCTAACGCGCGAGAAGGAACGTGCAATTAAAAAAGAACACTTTGGTGTTCGAAAAATTGTCAAAGTTATAGATTATGGATTTCTTTTTTTTTTTTTCTTAAGCTCATGTCTGTTGCTTTTCGTCAAAAACGCATTTTTCTACGATTATCATTTTACTAATTGGCATTGAGAATTAATTAAATTGATAAATATATCTCATCCGCTATAAATTAATACTTATATATTATCTCGAATTATTAAAAATTCAGTAATTTTTAAGGGAATTAGAATTGTGTAGTAATCGATAAAAAAAAAAAAAAAAAAAGGAAAGAAAAAAGTAAAAATGACGTTTGTCTTTTAACTGTTCGAAA